AGAAAGATCACAACAAAATCTACAAATACTCCAATTTTCAGTTTTGTTCACGCTTTCTTCTGAGCGTGAAAACTCACTGGATTTGGAATACTTTTGTTATTGGCCCACACATGGTTTAGCGGCAAAAATGGAAAATGTGTCGAATTGGCGCGACAATTATTTCCAGTCTAAATTGTTTTTTGAAAATATTCTAATATTTTTCATGGAAAGAATACGACCTCGTCTATGGATTCTTAAACTTTCGTATTTTTTTGCGAGTTCCTCCGTGCACAGAAAATCACCAAAGTTGCATCTTGCAAAACGCCTGTTTCGTTGCACCTGACATCTTTGTTTTGAGAAGATGAGCCTCAACGCTTGGGCCTTAGGGTCCTTTTGCAGTTCACATACCCTCACTTCTTTTTGGCGTCCGCTACACCCAAGGACCTATCCAACGCCCCCCACTTCTTTTGGGGGTCTGCTACCACCCGAGGACCGGTCCTTCCTTTTTCCAAAAGTCCTGGTTCTACGAGAGTTAGCTATAGGTAGTCCGCAAGTTTGCCAAGGACCAGTCCCCAAATTGTTTTTGCCCCCTAAGAACCCACTTTGCGTCCTGGTCGCCCGCTGACAAAAATGCGACATCTAGACACAGACACCGAAGCCCATTATACCGCAACCTTAGGGCTGCGAATTCAAGTTGCCTGATTTTTCACTTATGAGACTATGAGTTGGAGACAACCTTTTTACATGAATTTCAGAAGTGGTACTTGATGGGCTAGAGGGTTTCAGTCCCAAGGTCCTACAAACATAATTTTCAAAGAGGGCACCGACACTCTTTTTTTCAGTTTTGAGATTTAAAGTTTGAATCTGGTTTAGTTTTCGCTCGTAGGATCCAAGGTAGCTCGTAGGTCTTTTTCGTCGGCCTTTGGGTTTATTGGTGACTTTCACATGATTAGTCGTTTGGTCAACATTACGCAGGGTATGTAGACGGGGTACTTGTCAATGAAGACTACCTCCGCAACTAAAGATCCCTGAAACCTCTGTGAAGAGTGATGTCAGGTGGACAACCAAAAATGTTGGGTCCCTGCCGCTATGTACTTCAA